TAGCTTTACCAATCATTTTATTAAAAATATATGCTTGACTTCAGACGCTAAATACGTTATAATCAAAATAAGTAAGTCTTTTATTACAGTATAAGTAAAATTTGTTGAAACCTTAAACTTTTGTTGAATGCCACATTAATCATGTTGAAGTTTGCTAATTTTGAAGGGAATGTGAAATAAGGAATAAATCACGCGACTAATGTTTTTTTTGGAAAAAAGAAATCAGTCACAAATCAATTAGTGATAATCTTCTGTGTTAACAAATAAAGTTAATAAGAGCATCTTCTTCCCTGGCTATTCTAGGGTTTTGCACGTATTTTCCAATTGTCGTTCTCTTTGCTTTGACGTTGGTTGTTGAGTTTTTTCATCATGATGGAATCTGTGGAGGACCTGTATGCCAGACTATCACTGGCAGACGGGGAAGTTGAGGGGGTCGATGTTGGGGAGGAAGTTGCAGAAGAAGGGTTAGAATCACAACAGTTCATGGCGGTTGGCAGATTGCTCACAAATAAACAAATTTGTTTCCCTTTCTTCAGAGATTATACGGCTGATTCTTGGAGACCTGGGGTTGGAGTTAATATCCGGGACCTTGGGGTCGGCGTTTTCTCTTTCAATTCTTTCACGAAGTGGATTTTGAACGGATACTTCAAGAGGGGCCATGAGCATATGAGAATAATTTGCTGGTGCTTCGCAAATTAGGGGCGACTGATAATCCGAATATGGTCTCATTATCACATGAATGCTGTGGGTGTAGGTTTTTGAAGTGTCGTCATTCTTCTTCACGGAGCGTATAGCTATGATAATCGGTAACCATATAGGCTTCTTTGTTAAAGCTGATCAAAATAATTATAAGAAAGGATGGAAGGAGTACATGCGTGTTAGAGTATTATTGGATGTGGTTGTGCCTCTTAAGTATTGCATGACACTCAAGCGTGGCGCTGAAAGCTATGTAGTCTATTTTAAATATGAGCGTCTCTGTCATTTTTGTTTCATATGCGGAATGATGGGACACATTGATCGTCTTTGCCCCAACCGGTTTGAAGGTTATAAAGATGGTCAAGAGAAAGCTTTTGGCGCTTGGTTAGAGGCAGGAAATCGATAGAATACCGACAGCAGGGGAGTCAGTGGTTGGTTGATGGGGAGGGAAATCTTCTTGCTGATTCTAGCCGGATTAGTGCTGACCGTTTTGTGGGAACGAGGCAGGGTAATTCTTCCAAACAAGCCCCAGGAGGGGCTGATTCTCATGAGGCCACTGGAGGTGAAGGAAACATGACACTGGTCGTGAGGCAGGAAGATTTTGCAGGGCCTAGTGGTGGATCAATGAAGAAAAGGAAGGTACAGGAGGTTGGAGGGGAGGAGGAAAATGACTTGATCATGCTAAATAGACTCTATCAAAAAACGTGTTAGAGGCGGGTCCGCGTTACCAGGCCCGCCTAGAACAATGAGTTGTTTTAGTTTGAACTGCTGGGGGCTTGGCAACCCTTGACAGTTCAAGTTCTAGTGGACTTGATCCACTCTAAGAGGTCGTCGTTGGTGTTTTTGATGGAGACTTTTGCTTATTCTCGGAGGGTGGAAGGGATTAGGAGGAAATTGGGCATGGAGCATAGCTATATCGTTGCTAATGAAGGACACCGTGGTGGATTGGCTCTTCTGTGGGCTCATGGTATTGAGGTTAATGTTTAGGGATCTTTTGCTAATTTCACTGATGAATGGGTAAAGTTGGAAGAGGAGGGCCCAAAGCGGAGATTTACAGGCTTTTATGGTTTTCCAGAGCGACCTCGGCGATGGGATTAATGGGAGCTTTTGAAATCACTTAGTATGTTGTCTTCTTTACCATGGTTAGTGGTGGGGGGTGTTAATGATATACTTTTTGCTTTAGAGAAAAGAGGAAGGGTACCTCATCCGATCCCCCGTGGTTGCTTAAGGGGTTTAGGGAGTCTGTTTGGGCTAGTGGTCTTCGAAATTTCTCTTTCGAGGGCTATCAGTTTACATGAGAAATGTGGCGGGGTTCCCCGAATTAGGTGGAAGAGAAGCTGGATAGAATTTTGGTGTACGAGAACTAGCTAGAACTATATGGCCAGGCTAGTGCGGAGTCTTTTAAAGGTGCCCCCAGTGACTCATGGGGTAAACCGTAAACGGCATTTCAGATTTGAAAATGTTTGGCTTCGGGAGGAGGATTGCCGAGAAGTGGTGACTAGGGGATGGAGTGTTGGACGTGATGGAGGTGTGATGGGGGGATTATAGCTTGAAGTAAGGCGATCGAGGAATGGGGCCGAGGTAGGGCAGTCATGTACGTCAAAAGGATCACATTTTGTAGAAAGAGACTAAATTATCTTCATGGTAGAGCGGATGAGTGGGGGTTGCCCGAATTTGATAGAGTCAAATGTGAATATCTCTCACATTTAGAGAAGGAAAATCTTTATTGGAAGCCGAGGGCTAAGGAGTTCTAGTATCAGGGCGGAGATACAAATACCAAATATTTTCATAATGCGGTAAATATTAGACGAAGGAAATACAAAATGGAGGGACTCAAAATGGCGGATGGTAGCTGGGTCCGAGGTCGTGAGGATCTAGCCAGTCTCATCGGAGATTATTACAATGACATTTTTTCTTCTATGCAAGGTTATGGAGACCATATTTTGAGTTGTGTTGATCGCAAGATCGATGAGCACCAAAACACTATTTTGCTTCATCCGATTTCACACATAGAGGTCAAGGAGGCTTTATTTTCCATGTACCTTGATAAATCTTCCGGCCTCAACGGTATGAGTCTGGGGTTTTCTAGCATTTTTGGGATGTTATTGTGCCTGATGCTGTGAACTTTTTTCAGCCTATTTTCGAGTCCCGTACGTTTTCAATCATAAGAGCTTGAAGTACGTATTCACTCAGAAAGAGTTGAATATGAGGCAAAGGATATGGATGGAGTTGATCAAGGACTATGACTTGATCATCGACTATCATCCCGGAAAGGTCAATGTAGTGGCCGATGCACTGAGCAGGAAGAGTACGTCAGGCACATTTCTCACATGTCTACGAACTTTGAGGGCACATGTGGAGGTGTCCACGAGTGGGGTCCTCATTGCTAGATTCGAGGTTAGGCCTACATTGCTGGGTGAGATCAGTAGATGTCAGGCCACTGATGAGGAATGTCAGAAGATCCGCGAGAAGATTCTCGAAGGGCCCGTGGAGAACTTTCGGGTACGTGATGACGGTCTTTTATTGTTTAAAGACCGTGTATGCATACCAAAGAATGAAGAGCTCCAAAAGTCTATACTAGAGGAGGCTCATTCTTCGGCATATGCTATGCATCCAGGGGGTACTAAAATGTACCGAGACTTGAAGGAAAGTTACTGGTGGTCGGGTATGAAGAGGGACATCGCAGAGTGCGTGAGTCGATGCCTTACTTGCCAGCAAGTTAAGGCGGAGCATCAGCACCCGGCAGGGCTTTTGCAGCCACTGACCATTCCGGAATGGAAGTGGGAGCATGTGATTATGGACTTCGTGGTGGGGTTACCACGAACAGTGAACAACTATGACGCAGTATGGGTAGTGGTTGATAGGCTCACCAAGAGTGCACACTTTTTGCCTATCAACATTACTTATCCTCTTGAAAGATTAGCAAAGCTATACACGGAGGAGATTGTGAGACTACATGGAGTCCCGATATCCATTGTCTCGGATAGGGATCCATAATTCACATCTCGATTTTGGCCCAAGTTTCAAGCATCTTTGGGTACTAAACTGAAGTTTAGCACAACTTTTCATCCACAGACGGATGGACAATCTGAGCGGGTGATACAAATATTGGAGGACATGCTTAGGGCATGTGCTCTGGAGTTCCAAGGAAGTTAATTTTATTAGTTTATTCGCGTATAATTCGCGTGTAATACACTCAAACGTATAATTAACGTATAATACTCCCGTTTATGAATTTTTCAAAAAAATCGGAAAAGTTCGCGTACTTTAAGGATAAAATGTATAATACACGTACCGTACGTATTGATACGTATTTTATTCCCGTATAATACTCTCGTTTATGAATTTTTCAGAAAATTCTGAAAACCTCACGGACTTTAAGTATAATACACGTACTGTATGTATTGATACATGTTTTATTCAAAAACACACACCATTAAACGGAAGTTTAATGTAGTGATACAACTACAATGAAATGTTTAGATGCTCAATATTTTTTATATTGCTTAAAAATGTATGCCTTATATGTTCGTTAATTGTGTAATAGTCATTACATTTAATAAATTAGGTTAATTAGCTTCTTAAATGTAATAGTATTGTACGGAGTACTATTGTACTACTATTGTATTACTTTTGTTCTCCACCCATATCAAGACTCTAAAGAGATCAAAAAATGTTGTGGCGGCTCACCAAACTCACGGTCACAGTAATATCAACTATTCTCTAATGATATCTTTCTACTTCTACTCAAATAAGCAACATCATTTTTATTACTTATTGTACTTATGTGTTCAAATCCGTATATATGAAAAAACCATTCCTTACATTTTAAATTATTGAAGAATGTGGTGCAAATGCTAAATAACTCTTTATTTCTATCATTAAATTAATATATAAGACACATATTATATTCCGTATTTTTAAATTGTGAAACGTTTAAAACACGTCTGTATCCTTATATATTTCACGAACGTATGAAACATATATTAAGCCGTATTTTATATAATTATATCGTATTATACATAAATGTACGTATTATTGTATTATTCACGAACCGTACATTACTAACAAAGATTTGATGTTCGATTTAAAATGTCCCCCCTATATTGAGCATTATGACCTCATAAACATGCGCTTTTGCTTTTCTTTTTCTTTTTCGTTCTCTTATCGTTTTCTTTTCCTCGTTTTGTACGTGGTCGTTGACAATGGGCCCACGTCGGACATTTCACCGGTCTTCACGAGGGAAAAAAAGAGATCCCACCCTCTTATTACCTTCCATCCAAAGTTGGTCAAATAGTCTTCTCCCAACTTCCCGTTAGCTTCAGCTTCACTGTATTTCCTTAAGCAAAACACAGCCCTTTCCCCTTTTCTATCCTTCACACTCTCTCTCTCTCTCTATATGTATATCTCTTTCTCACTCTATATTATACTATTATACTGTACACGTACAATTATTGTCATGTATATGATCATACGGAATATGCGACGCCCGATTCTTGAGCTCCAATCACCAATCTCCTCCGCTCCTCCCTCACTTCCCCTGAACCAATTTCTGCCCCGCCGCCGTCCCTCTCCTTGAATTCATCTGCGGCGGTGCCGTGGTGGTGGCTGGAAAGCCTGGAATGGCAGTTTATACAGACGTTGAGGCCGTGCTTGGATTTCTTAAGAAGAATGGGTTTACCCAGTCTGAGTTTGCTTTGAAGGAAGACATCGTGGAGAGATCCCGATTGGGTGGTTCATTTGATTTCCAGAGGGTATTCTTTCCCGTGGTGCCGCCGCCTTCTGAGCTCAAGATTCCGCCCACCCAGAGGACTGAGGAGGTTTCCGGTGGTGGGTTTGGTGGGAGTGGTAATCAAAGCCCCCATTCGTCTGAGGATGAGTTTATAAGCTTGGGTTCTTCAACCACAGAGCTCTGTTCATCTGGTATCTTCTGTTTATTTTTAGCTTTACTGTAAGTGAGAGTTGTATGGTTTTAATAGAAAAGTTGTTGCTTTGTTTATGAAATTACATGAGAATCAAGTTAAATCCTATTTGGTGATTGTGTGAAACTAAAAGAAGGTAATTATTCCAAAATCTCATTTTGGTCATTACTAGGATCACAATGTCTTAGGTTAGGTGGTTTGTTATCACATCTAAATCAAATACAGAGATACTAATAAAGATATGATAAACATTTTTAAAGATACATTTGTTTATCTAGTAGGTTGATTATATTGTGTAAGTCTCCATATGGAAATTACTCATATTATAAAAAGGTAAGCTTAATAGGATGAGAAGTCTAAAGTCTGACACGCGATAGGAGGATTCCAAAGTCTTGTATGTTAGTTTGAAGCCATACCAGTAAGCGGGTTAGCACTTTTTATATTGGGCCGGACGCCGGTGTGAGATGGCTTAACATTATACATGCTATACTGTTATAGTAGAAAATCTGTTGCTTTTAGTTCTTAGCTGAGCTAATACTCTATTTAAACCCCAATTTTGGTGATTACTTGAAACTAACGTTACTGCCTAGTCCAGCTCTTATATGCTAGCGGGATTGTTGGAGTTATTTAAAAAACACATAGACAAGTTCAGGTGTTGTATTCCTATGTTTATTTAGTTGTGCACTTTTATTACTTGTAGAGTTCACAAATCCATATGGAATACGTTGTGACACATATCCGAGCTCTCAAGCATCATCTGATAGAATGTCACAGTTTGGGACAGCACGAGACTATCATGATTTCGATATGCAAAATGACAGTTTCTGGTACAAGGAAAAAGATGAAGATTATTCCATGCCGCCTGATTTTGGAGGCTCAGATTTTGCTTCTGTCCCTAGTGAGGATAAATTTGTTATGACCTTAGGCTCGGGGAATCATCATAATGAGGACACTAAAGATAAATTTCCAAATGAAAGTGACTTTTTTTATAAATGTGTGGAAGATGAAGGAAATGTTCGAAAGAGTGAAGAACTTTGTGCAGATTACAGATGTTCCTCCCCCCTTTGTGCTTGCTGTGGTGGCACAGGAGCAGTCTATGCAGAGGACCTTAGCGACTATGGTGTTGTGGATCTGAAGTTAACCAATGAAAAGGATTTGATCCAGGAAAAATCTGGAGAAGAAAGAAGCATCGAAAATGAAAGCATTAACTCCATTACAAAAAAGAATTCAATTTACAGCTCCGACAAAGAATTTGGTGGAGAACCAAAAGAAGCTGATTTAGAAGCAGATGAAGAAGGCGATCCTGCTATCAATGAGCTTCAAATGTTTGATACCAGCGAGGATGAATTTCAAACATTCGATCTTAGAATTATACACCGAAGAAACAGGTATTGTAAATTTGTTCATATAGAACTCTCTCTGCTCTATCTGAAAATAAGATACATTTACTCGTAAGCAAGTACTTTTATTCCTTTTTAGGGCTAACCGGCTAAATAAGTCTCATTTTAGGCTAACTCCCTTTCCCAGCCCCGTTGTTCACCCACTTTTTAAGTAGGGCAAAACTCATAATTGTTTTTTCTTTCCATTTTGGCCACAAACACAAAATAAAACAGATTGAATCACACCAAAAGATAGAATACTTTTCTATTTTGTAAGATACACTTTCCTTTTGAGTTGTCCCTAAAATATGAACACTTTCTTAAATTGGACTCTACTAACTTTTTACTTTCCCACTTTATCCCTTTATCTATCATTTCACCCTTTACTTTTTGTGGATCTATTTTTCTCTTTCTTACTTTTTGGAGGTTTTTTTTACTAGAAAAAAAAACCGCGCCAAACTCATATGCATCTCACATTATGGGACGCAGGTAGTAATTAGTTAGCTAGTCTAGTCTGGTAATCCACCTTTTAAAACCGTATGTCTCTCTTTAGTACTTTTGGTTATTAAGATATGGAGTTCCATACTAAAAAAAGATAAGTTGATAGAAAAAGTAAGCCACTACTTTCTATATGAGTTTATATTTTTTGTATTTAGCCATTGTAAGATGGTTTAACATGCCCTCCAGATGGGTAGGAGGCCCTTGGAGCAGAGTCGTCCAATGAATTTGGAGGCCCCGTTCCAACCGTAAAATCGCGACCCTATATTAATATTAAGAATTAAAAAATCAAACGAAATACTTGTACTGAAATCAATTGAATACTCATCAAATAATGTAATAAAAATTCTAAAAATCACTTAATACTTGATTTAAAGCACCACAATTTATCGCTCAATCAATTTGAGTAAAATATGAGTAAGAGTACTGATAAAAAAACTGTATTTTATTGTTTAGTATTTATTTCTCTATTAATACTATGTAATACTAATATTTTTTAAAAAATTGGGGCCCCAAAAATCAGGAGGCCCTGTTTTGTAGAACATGTTGAACATGCGAAACGCCGGCTCTGCCTTGGAGCAATCTTTGTGGTTCTTTAAAGGAAATTTACATTTGAACGAAACATGGCTTATCATGCTCCAAGTGCTTCGCATCGCAAGTTACCATCTCTACATTTTTTTTACCATCTCTATATTTTAATGGAGATAATGAGTTTATTTCTTGCAGGTTCTTTTGTAGCAAACAGTTGTACTTATATTATATGCCATCATCCACAGGACAGGATTTGAGGAGAACAAGGACATCCCTATAGTTCTCAACAGTATCGTCGCGGGTAGATATCATGTAACGGAGTACCTCGGTTCAGCCACCTTCAGCAAAGTTTTTCAGGCACATGATCTTCACTCTGGAGTAGATGTTTGCTTGAAGATAATAAAAAATGACAAGGACTGCTTTGATCAGAGCTTGGATGAAATCAAACTTCTGAAGATTGTAAACCAGCATGATCCTGGTGATGAACGCCATATATTACGCCTCTATGATTACTTTTACTATCAGGTAGGCTCTAGCACACAAATACTTGTTGAATATGAAATTTATTATATTTATTTTGGAAAAATTCCATAAAATATTACTAATGAACTATCCTGTGTAAAAATGTTACTATCGCAGTTACTTATAGTCAACTGGCAATGACCAAATCACCAAATATTACAACAGTTACCAACAACTGGCTAGTGACGGTTGGTAACTGCATTAGTAATATTTTTTTTATCTTAAAGTTAACTTGTTTTCAGATAGTTATTTAACTAGTAGTAAAATTTAAAGGAAAATCCGTTTTACGTAGTATTATTTAAAGTGTTTACTTATGATATTACAAAAGTATTCACATCAGAAGATTATCCAAATTTCACCCATTACTACTAAATTCACTCATGACTGGAGCTGTCGGCGGGAGATTTCTTGTTATTCCGCATTAATATTTGCATTCTGATTAGCAATGGGTAAGGACTAAAATAATTCTCTGAAAAACATGCAGGAGCATCTCTTCATTGTTTGTGAGCTTTTGCGAGCTGACTTGTATGAGTTTGAGAAATACAATCGAGAATGTGAGAGTGAACCATATTTTACAATGTTAAAGCTAAAGGTTTGGTTTAGCCAAAGCAGTTTTTTAACAAATATTCTTTTTTCGGCATTTTATCACATTAAATTGGTCGTTTTCACTTTTACAGGCTATAGCACGGCAGTGCCTCGTGGCTCTGGAGTATTTGCACAGTTTGGGGATCATCCACTGCGATCTAAAGCCTGAAAATATCCTCATCAAAAGTTTTAAGAAGTGTGAAATAAAAGTTATTGATCTCGGAAGCAGTTGTTTTGAGACAGACAACTTGTCTTTATATGTGCAGTCAAGGTCCTATAGAGCTCCTGAGGTTATCTTAGGCCTCCCATATGACCATAGAATTGATCTTTGGTCTCTTGGATGTGTACTGGCTGAGCTATGCACTGGAGAGGTAGGAACACTGTTTTCCTCCTCAACTAAAAGCATATACTATATTGTTACTGAACGCATTGTTATACTACATAATAGTTATTGTTATAAGGTAATGTTGGTTATATTATTTCGTGAAAATTTTAAAGGAGAAAATACATGATTTTTTTGAATGGCTCGTAATTTGAATCACAGGTGCTCTTTCCAAACGAGGAAATTCCAGTATTGCTTGCACGCGTGATAGGTGTACTTGGTCCCATCGACATGAATATGTTATTGAAAGGACAAGAGACAGACAAGTATTTTACAAAAGAATTTGACCTCTATCAAATAAACAAGGTTTGTTCCTTCGCAAATCTCTTAGATCCTTCGATATATTACATGTGTAGTAGTCATTTAGTATTTCATTATTTATATGAACCCCTCTATGTGTACTTTGTTTAGGAGTAACATAGTTTTTCATTCATGTATACAACTTTATAGAAACTAGTGCATATTCGTCATTTTTGTGTTTCTCTGTTATAGGAGACGAATCAAGTGGAATACATAATACCTGAGGAGACATCCTTGGAGGATCAGTTACAGGTCTTCTCTGATCCTTTGTTCATTGACTTTGTAAGCAATCTGCTTCAAATTAATCCTAAAAGCCGACCCACCGCTTCTCAGGCTCTTCAACACCCTTGGCTTCTTTCGTGATACAGCATAATCCATGTTTAGATTTTTCCAGTATCATGGATTTTATTATAATTTTTATAAAATTGAAATCCCAGTTCGGAGCTGGATTTGGTTCTCAATCCCAAAGTCTTCCACGCAGTTTAAAAAATCCAATATTCACATCAGGTTATGTTTAGTCCATACATACACTAGCAATAAAATACCGTAGGTAGTCTTGATTCTTGTATAGCTGTTTGAATTTTCTTGCTGTTTACAAATTCTTTGTTTACATGTCTTAACGTAGATGTATATGTAACTGGGCGTTTTGTTTGTTTTTTTGGATGACACTGATAATCCGGTTCACTTGTATGACCTACCAGAATATTTTTATAATAATTGTTTGAAGTTTCCTCATTCTTTTATTGCTTAAGTAGATGTTTAGTTGGTTCCTCTTCTCTAACTTCTGTTTGTATTTTTTTCCTAATTCTTGTTTCTGTTCTCATCATTTCTAGTGTTAGCTTTTATAGCTACTGATTATGGCTTTGTTTGAGAAAACAAAATCACAAGCTACCCCATGGTTGATATGTGCTTATAAGTTTGTTAGTACTAGACTACTAGGGATGGACCGGGCCCGGTCCGGTTCCTGGTCGGGCCCGGGCGAGCCTGGAAATTTTTGGGCGAGCCGGGCCGGTTCCGGGCCGTGTTGGTTCTTATATATATATATATATATATATATATATATATATATATATATATATATATATATATATATATATATATATATATATATATATATATATATATATATATATATTATAGGTTTTCTTAGGTTATTCCACCCCCACCCCCCAAACCCCGTCAAAACACCCAGCCCAGCCCACCTGCCATAGGCCCAAACCCAAAAAAACAAAAAACTCGGACCGGGCCCGGACCGGCCGGGCAGGCCCCAATTGTCCAACCCCGGAACTGCCCCTTATCACAAGGGCTTCAGCTTCGCGAGGTTGGCAAACCGGGTCTTTTCTTTATTCCACTGACAATAAAAGACCCTATATAGTCTCTTACCACCCATCCCAACCCCGTTGTAGTCCCCCTACCTTCACTGTAGTGTCTACGTTGACCTTTAAATGGCCCTCTCTCGATTTTCATTGACCTTTAGTTGTATGTTTGATACAATATTTTTTAGATGATGCTCTCAAAATTTTAAGACTTTTTAGAAGCTATTTCGAGAAGTTTTTTATATTATTATATTATAGAATATTTAATGTTTTTAGCATTAATTAGTGATGAGAGTTTGTTATATCAAACAACCATCTCTGATCAGATAGTTATAATTTCATGTATTTAAGGACTCCTCTAAATATTACTACCTCCGTCGCAAATAAACTTTGCCATTTCAAAAAATTTGAACCATGATTTTGATTAGCATAATACTATGAAAGTTATAAATTTTACACTTTTATAAAAATACTTTTAACAAACAACATTTTCATAAATTTTTATATTATAAATAATTTTAATTAAAAAGATAAAATTGATCAAAATTTTGAATTTGGCAAAGTTTTTTGGGACGGAGGTAATACTACGTAATTGCAATATTAAAAAACATAAGAAGTATTTTTCGACTAGTGGTGTGAAACATGAATATAATTTATTACTCCGTACTACATAGCTGATAAGTTTGTTAGTTTATTTCAATGCTAGCTTTGAAATACTTAGAACTCGATTGGTAATATAGAGCGCACGTTGATAACACTAAAATTAGCTGATGAATCTATAGACTTGGCTGAATTTGTTGAATTTTTGAAAAAAATATTTTATCAATAAAATAAAAAAGAGAAAATAACTTTAAATAATACCAACTATCTTCCATGAACCAATCAAGAATAATACCAACTTGAGAAATAACTTTTAATAATACCAACTATTTGAATATCTATCAAACATGATATATAGCAAATTTTCACTAAAAATTTATTTATTCAATTCATCAAAAACTAATATCAAAATATCAAATAATTTAAGTGATCATATTTTCAAATCTCAAGTCTTCCCGGTGGAATTTTTTGATGAAATTTTTTGAGCATGTTTTTCATCAAGTCTAGTTTGTCCATACCAAATTTCAGTTCAAAATTCGATCGGGAAGGCAGTCAAATAAATCCTGGAAAACTATGACTCATTCTGCGCACATATATAGTGCAGTATGTTTCCAGGATTTATTTGACTGCTTTCCCAATCGAATTTTGAGCTGAAATTTGGTATGGACAAACTAGACTTGATGAGGAACATGCTCAAAAAATTTCATCAAAAAATTCCATCGGGAAGACCCTCTAATGGGCTTGTCCGCACGGGGCTTTTCTTCAGGAGCTCCTGCTAGGAACAGGACTCTCTCTCTCTCTCTATATATATATATATATATATATATATATATATATATATATATATATATATATAATAAAATTAAGAAAAAGATATATGAAAAAAATTGATAAAATGGTTATTTATGGTAATTTCAGCCAATTCAAATAGAAAGTAAGTCAAATTTTACTTGCATTGATCATTATATAATTCAATGTGTGAAATTAGAAGATACACGTTGAAAAGTTGACTGATAATTAAAAAATAGAGGTAATCAAACGGGGTGTAAAAAACATAAAATGATATTTCAAAATAAAAACATGCTTCAAAATGGGGAAAAAATGACAGTATAGGCTGTAATGTTGTATAGCTAACCTGCCGATCACATGAATTAAAGAACTACTCAAAGAAAATTATTGAATAAGTTCGGGCTAATAAGATAAGTTTATAAATGAAACACTACTTGCATAGATTAGAATGGTTTCGTAAAACAAAAAACTAATGTTCCGTAGCTAACTTATGGTGCAAAAATACCTACAAATCTAATACCTATATAGAAATTTCTTGAATATGATTTTAAAATATCATTAGATTTTCTTATTGAAAAAATTGACAAGGATAATCTCACCTTTCACGGGTCTTCTCATAATAATCAAACCTTTACATAATCTCAAAATAATCTCACCTTTGCACCATATCTTCTTTCATTGGACCCTGATCATGTTTTTTACCTTTTTTGAAAATCTTATATAAATAATCTCACAATAAAGATATACAGTAATAAAAAAGTGAAAGATGAGATTATTTATATGATTTTCAAAGAAAGCGTAAAAACCCTGGTCAGGGTCCAATGAAAGAAGATGAGGTGCAAAAGTGGGATTATTCTGGGATTAGATAAATGTGTGATTATTATGAGAAATCCGTTGACCTATAAAAACAGCATATAAAATAACATATAATACAGATAAGCACTCCATGACTTTTATGCTTTTGTGTTTTGTTGTTGCATGCCACAATTATCATATCATTACTGCACATCCTAATCACATGGAACATTTACTCTTCTATCCTTGCGACCACCCTAAACACAACTCACAAGATTATTGCACATAACCTTTGACAAATTGTCTCCTTGTCTAATCTTATCATCAATTTTAGAATACTATTCTTGTAGTATTCCCCCAATCAGGTTACAAGGAATTTTATCAAATTCTTCAGTGAGATAGTTGATGAAAGATTCTTTCTGGAAATAATAATAAAACCTCAAATACGGTGTAATTTTTTTAGAATCATGTCAATAAAAGAGTAAGAAAAGTGAAAACAGCCTTTTTGACACAATTTTAAGGTCAAGCTAATTTAGGACAGTCGCAATATATGAAAATCACGATACTTGTTATTACAAGTCGTCTCACGGAGCAAATAGTTAAGAGTGTTTAATTACCCAATCAACAGCTTTGCTATGATAATAGTCTTGTGATTGATTATAAATAGACAATTAATTCTCATCACTTAGACCAGACCAAACCAATTCAGACCGGATCAGACCGGATAAGACCAAATCAAATTTCGACAATTGCATGTAAAATATAATACACCAAGACCAAACATCTATCAAACTGGTTCAGACCATATCAGATCAGATAAAAAAAATTAAGTCCAAGTAAAAACATCATTAGTTGTGTGATCCAAAAAGAATGGCTCATAACGACACTTCTTGTCCTCTTGTCTTTCTTTTATGAACTTTGTTTGGTGTTTACAGCTTAAAACCACTTATAGAAATAGCAAATGTTGAATTAGTACATCCCAATGCCTATATATTTTGACAACAGACTAAACGCCTTACTACTAAACCACTTACCGATCAAGAGGTCAGATATTTTTTAACTTGTTACATACATACTATACCCCTTAGCTTCTAGAGACTAGAATTTAAGTAGTCTCTCTAGACTTTAGTTACTTGTTATAAGGTTTATGATTTAGCATTTATGAATTAGAGTTTAGTGTAATGGCGGGGCACGATGGCAACAATTTGGTTATGGCGGCAACTATCGAGGCAGCGGCACTCACGGTCTTAGCGGTGGCGGCAATATAATGACTTTACTATACTAATATTTCCATGTACTACAATGATAAAATTAAAAATTTATGATCCTTGCAATATATTTTAGTCTTATTGCATAAAAATGCTATCTAGTGGTACACAAATTGATACGCTGATGGACATTAATTTATTGATATAGTACTCATTTCAGTATTGTATCCTTATGTGTAACGTTCAATTCCCAGTAAGTGGGAATGAGTTGAGCATTTGAGCTCCACATATAACTCTACTATTATCATATTGTCCAATTCTATAATACTCCAATTGGTATAAAGCTGATTCCATTGGTCAAAATGTTTGTATAACTTTTGCAAACGCTACTCAAACAAAGACTTAACGTTCACATGGGAAGCTTGGCAACAAGAGAAGGTCAGGATGATGTTTTTCTCATTTGTTGAATACTTATTATTTAGTGGATGGAAGGCCCTTCCCACTTCTTTCCGTCGTGATATCTTCAATGGGTAACGTACATCAGACAAGTACCAATAATACTTCCTCCGTCCCTAAATGTTGTTCCAATTGCGGATTACGAAGGTTGACCGACGATAAAGTTAAATGATCCCTGTGAAAACTCGGATTATTTTTAGTAAATAAAATTTACATATTCAGAAACTACATTAAACCTGTTGAGGTTTATTCCTTCAACCCGTGGACCCAACACGTAAGCCCAAAGGTTTCGAGTGGAGTGAAATGTATGGATGTCTAGCCCAACAACTATGAGATGAATCAGGAAACAATAATAATAGCAGGCAATGTAAATAGGTATTATTAACTCCGTAATAACTCCCCTAAGTACAATCTACTTGCTAAACAAGGCACGTCGGCCGTTCGTCTTACAGGCAGTTAGAGATGCTGCGAATAAGAATGCTCAAGCTAGTATGCTAAGAATAGAAAGTTGCCAACCCTTTACAATGGAATAAATGCTTCTATTTATACCCGCCAATGGGCAGGTGGCTGTAGTGACGTGGCAGCCTGTGGACCGCTGGTGTCCCAACTACCAAATCTTTAGCATTAAATGCACTTCCCGCCAGAATCTAGGTTTCCCGCCGGATCAGTGGGGACGTTCGTCCATCGGGAAGTGAGTTGGATTGCTCCAAGGGACCCTTGGGAGATATCGGCTGTTCGTCTCCTGGCCTTGACAGATACTCACCATGTGGACTGGGTTTTCTCCGATGACTACAGGCTTGCTATGGGGACGTTCGTCGCCGTCCCTGGTGGCCCGTGGTTCTGCTCCTTATCCCTGCACAGACGTTCGTCGGGATGAGCTGCTGGGCCTGAGTCCCCCAACACCAGACGTTCGTCCATCCTCAAGGAACATGGGCCTGTGTGCTGGCCTAGTGATCTAACTGGACGTTCGTCTGGCGAAATGGGTTAGTGGGCCGGACCTCGGCTTGGGCCCTTAACCCAACACAAGTCCCCCACTTCTGATGTTCTGAGCATGCGCAGGACATAAGGAAGTATGAACCTCCCCGAAGTAGACGTCCGTATCTTGGTACTTGTGTTTATTGCACCTGGTGGAAGCGTACGTTCGTGGTCATGATGCTTGACAGCTGTTTGACGGTTCAGGAAACGAGGTGACGGCTGATGTTGCGGCGGCGCGTTTTCCCGAGGAAGTGTCATCATTACGTTCCCATCCCACGCACAGCGCGTGGGCCGGAATACGCTCCTTGCCACGTGTCAGCCCCTCGTTGGTTTCTTCGTCGGTGCTTCTCCTATAAATGCTAGGTTTTCCCTCTGAATTAGGGTTCCCAATTTCTGCTTTCTTGCTCTCGATTTTCCGCAGCTCTTCAAGTTTCCCAAATTCGGCCAACCATACCTTTGTAAGGTAATTTCCCCCCTCTGCTTCTTTTCTTTATTCTGATTTCTAGCCGAAATGACTTCGATGGAGATTTCCTCAAGTTCCGATTCCAGTTCGTCGGGTTCCTCCTCGGGCTCCTCTTCTGACAATGCGAATGCACGCTCCCCGGGAAAAACTAGTGTTTCCGGAACCTCGGGTTCGGCCACGACTGTGGGGACCATCCGGGCTGATGGCGAGCCGGATGACGTGTCCCAAGATAGCGGGAGCGACGCCGGGGGCGGGGGCGCTGACGGGGCAGTAGATGTTATTGACGCAGTCCCCCTGAATGAGCGTCCTGCTGATTATGATTCCGGAGAGGAAGCCGAATCTGGTTCTGATGTGGAGGTGTATGATCTGGGCATCCCCACGGATAGGGAGCGCCACATCTGCCCGATCAGGAGTGCACTTGACCATGACCAAGTCCTTTCCCGCGTGGCCCTCAATAAAATCCGTACCTTCCTTCCCCCGTCGTTCGTCTGGAGTGTGAGAGGTGCTGAGCATGTGATGAGGAGACGTCCGGGGATGATCATGCTTCACCTGGACTCCGTTGAAGCCGGGCTGAGGTTTCCACTTCATGCGTTCTATGTGGAGTTCTTCCACTGCTTCCAGGTGGCCCCGGCGCAATTCATGCCAAATTCTTACAGATTCATATCGGCCTTCTTGGTGCGCTGCCAACTTGCGGGGGTCGATGCCACTCTGGAGCTCTTCCATTATTTCTACCGCGTCACTCCTCAGAACGCCGACGGGTATCTGAGCGTGGCCGCACGTCCTGGGAGGCGGCTGTTCAAGAACTACCCTTCGTCCATCCACGACTGGAAGAACCGTTTTTTCTTCCTTCGATACGACGGGCCTCCTCTCCCTCTCCGGTGGAATGGGTACCCCCCAAAGATCGAGTCATCGGAGCCGTCCGACGATCTGCTTCTGGATGCGGAGAAGGTGTTGGAGGGTGGCGTCCGTCCTATAGCCGGATTCCTGACCTTCGAGGCACTCTCTGGGGCAGGCATAGGTACCGCCCGTGTCCCTGGACTTTTTCTACCCTTCGACGCTCGTCTCGGGGCACCGGGCGGTCCTGTCCTTCGAGGTGAGTGTCTTATTCTATTCCCCGCTCGTCTTCTAATCCTTTGTTATTTTTTGCAGGTCCTCCGCCAGACAGGGATCAAATGAATCACGCCGAGTGCCTGAAGACCAGGAAGGCCAAAGCGGCCGCCGCTAAAGCTGCGATGGAGAAGGCCAAGAATGCCCCCGCCTCGGCGTCCAACTCCTCGGCTTCTGACGCTGCCCCGGCGAACTGCCGAGGGTGAGCAGCATCTGATTGCCACTGTGCTGGCTCAGGGTTCCGGGGCCCCTGCTCTCGAAGCCGCCCTTCCCCTGCCGGTCGTCCTCACGAAGACGGCTCCTCAGAAGGGTCCGGAGAAAGCCCCGGAGAAGAGACAGAAGAGGGGCCGCGAAGCAGGCTCCACCGGGCCCCTGCTTGAAGACGCCGACTCCTTGCCATTGAGCCGCCCGGCGGAAGAGCTCTGGAGGGAGATGGCCCTCAAGGCTGGTCTAGAGCTGCCCAGCCGTTCGTCCTCTAAGGCGACAAGCGCTGCCCTGGCAGCCGCTCTTCAGGTAATTCCTTGCTAGCTCTGAGTATATCTCTTATTTTCCTTGATGTTCATCCTCTGATCCTTATTTTTTCTTCTTCTGTCATCCAGTCTGGGCTTCTAGTCCTTCAGGCTGAAGCTGCCCGGGAGGCCGACCTGAAGGAGGCCAAGGCCAAAGCTGACGCGGGCATCGCTGCGGCCCGGGAGGCCGCTCGTCGAGCAGAGGCGGAGGCGGCCGCCAAGGAGAAGGAGATCGCCGCCCTGCGGGCAGAGTCCCGCCAGCAGCTGGCCAGCCTTGAGAAAGCTGGCTTCAAGCTTGTCCCGGTGCACCCTACTGCAAAGGGTGCCAGTCCGGAGTGGCTGGTCGATACCTCCGGCTATCGGAACACCGGGGAGTTCATGGATTCCGCCAAGGATTACTGCGCCGGAGCCTTCGGTGACGTTTTCTCTGCGGCGCTGGAGAAGATCCCACCCCGGCAGCGTCTGGCGAGCGGGGTCCGGATTCTGGAGAGCTCCCCCTTGTCTCACAAGTTCCTCTACGAGGTCGGCGACAGCTCCTTCGCCGCCGGTTACAATGAGGGGGTCAAGGCCACCCTTCCCATCTTCTCAAGGCTGCAGGGGGCCGACTTCGAGCTCGCTGCCAATACGGATGATGATCTGCTGCTCCAAGCCTTGGGGAAGTTGGGGAGGGACCAACGGCGGGAGGAAGCCAAGGCCAGAGGAGAGATTCTGGAGCCCCCGACCCCTGAGCCCGAGGCCGAGGAGGAAGAGCAGATTCCGGGAGGCAGCCGGCCTGAATCCCCCTTCTTTGTATAATGTACTTTGTATTTTTCCATTCCAACCTTTGTAATGTCCGGCCGTTAGAGCCGAGGAATATACATCTTTTTGCCCATGATTATTCCATGTTCATGATTTCTACTTGTTATTCTCCTTCCTTCTGTCCTTCGATGTATGGAAACCCCTTCGGCGGTCCGACATGCCTTGTAGCAAGGTCAGAGTCCGAGAGGACGTTCGTATCCGTCCTCTACTTGCTTCCAGGCAAAAGCGTCCCGAAGTCAATCCTCCGTACGTATTCAACGCGTTCCGTCAATGGAGCGACGTTCGTCGGTGGTTTATGGTGCATGCTCGAAGTGTAGACATAGGAACGTATTTCTCAGCACCAGCACTTGATAACGATGTCCGCCCGTCGTCGCGTGATATGAACATTCAAACCACGCGCGGGACGTTCGTCTGTTTTGCGTGCTCATCTGGCACGAAGTGTGGAGAGGCGGCGTTCATCCTTTGTGCACCATCAATGGACGTGATTTTCACTTCATTCTTTTGTGCCCATCGTTTGTAGTATGAGGAATCCCTCCGGCGCCTCGACACATCTTTACCGCCTACGCGGTCTCTGGACAGTGGGAAGACGTTCGTCGGTAATTGCCTTGCCAGCACACGATTCAAGTATGGACTTATGGGCGTATTTCCCTGAAACAGCGCTTGGTGACGACGTTCGTCCATATTGCGTGACATAAAAAACTGGTGTGCTGCAAGAGGGACGTCGCCAGTTGATTCGTGTGCCCTCGCCAGCCGCCGATGCTAGGGTCAGCCGGGGAATTAAGGAAGCAAGGGAGGTTGAATGTCTTCAAATTCCTCCGAGCCGGTGAGCCCTCCTCAAGGGACGTTCGTGGCACGGACCCGGATGTCTTTGTGTGGGTTATGCGGCGACAAAATCGAGACGCTTTAAATACCGTGGTAGGTACCGGTATCCAGGCGCCACGTGTCCTGCTTCGGTTGGGGCAATCCCGCGGTGTTGCCTATAAATACTCAGTACCCAAGTGATCCACTCACACTTCTCCTTACGCTGCACAATTGCCTTCTCTCTCTAGACTTCTCTTTTGATCGTATCGGAAACCTCGAGCTCCAAGGTATCGTTCGTCGTCATGTCTTCCGAAAGTCGTTTTGATGATGGATGTTCTTCCGGTGATGACTTGGAGTATTATGAGCGGGGAATGCCACCCCGGCCTCCCCGTTATAGCCTCAACTTCTCATGCGTCCGGCGTCAAGTTCAACGCCTGACGAACGCTGACAAGCGATTGATCAGTCAATGGTTCTATCCACCAAGGACCTACGACGATCGGCGTCTTCGGAACCCCATGCGCCATCTGCCCGGCTATGTGGTGGTCCACCTAGATTCGGTGATAGCCGGGCTGAATTTTCCCTTGCATAGCTTCCACTTGGAACTCTTCAGGGCCCTCGAGATTGTGCCTGCGCAGCTCGTCCCTGCCGCTTATCGGATAATCGCTGGCTTTATCATTAGATGCCACAGCGTCGGTGTGACCCCCACCGTGGACCTGCTGCACCATTTCTTCCGTCTGTCCACCTTCGGACGTACAGGGTATTTGACCCTAATTGCCCGTCCGTCCATGGTCCTGTTCTCGAACAACGCTGGGAATCCAGACGGTTGGGAAGAACGCTTCTTCCTGGCCGGAGTAGGCTCACCGATGCCATTCTCTGATCGGTGGAACGCCTACCCTGTGAAGACGATCCCGCCGCCCATGACGGACGAGGAGCTTGGATATGCCAAGCGCATAGCCGGACTTGGCATTCAGAACCTCCGGTTGCTGGTGGCCGAGCCCTTTAAAGCTCAGGCTGGGTTAGGTGCGTCCGTTTGTACTTGCATTGTTTTAATCTCTCTTCGCTGTTATGGTTCTGAACGCCTTGATTCCCCTTATGCAGGAGTTTGTCCATCCACGTCCACCATGCGCCGAGACAATGCCGCTCCGACTGCCGCCGACCGTGGGCACAGAGGGCATGACAAGCCCGGGAAGCCGCTCGTCCCCAAGGTTGAAACTAGGGTGACCAGGGGCCGGACTGAGGATGATTTGGGAGCCGGCGCCTCCAAGAGGTCGCGCGTCGAGGGTACAGCCTCCAAGGCCATCATAGTAGCCGACGACTCTGATGGTGAGCCTGGGAGCCCCCTTAAGCGGAAGCCTGCTTCTCGGGGCAAGTCCCGTCCTTCTCCCCCACGAACTTCTGACGTTCGTCGTCTCCGGGATGATGATGCCCAGATCGCTAAGGGTTCTGACGATGCTCGTCCTCCTTCGCCCTCAAAAGCCAATGGGTCCTCCCTTGGTTTGATTGAGTTCTCCGGGGTTGGTCCACGCAAGGAGTCAATGATGCTCTTTGGTCAGACGGCATCCTCTATCTGGTGCGGCCTGAATCTCAAGGTCCCCCAGGATTTTGCTGCTCAGGAGGCACCCGAAGACCTTCTGGAGTGTGGCCAGAGCACCTTGGATAAGGCCGGGCTCTACTTCCACAGGGCCCGGATGGCCTTCGAGCATCAGGGCAGGGAAATGGCCAGGGTGCGGGCCGAAAGCGACGCCCTTCTGAGGAGTGCAAAAGGCAGGGCTGGCACTCTTCAAGAGAAAGCCGATGCCTTCGATAAACTCGTCCAGGAGAATGCCTCTCAGAAGGAGCTCCTCAAGAAGCAGGAGGCCGAGCTTGTAGATCTGCGCAGCCGGCTGTGGGCCGTAGAGAAAGCCAAGGTGGAGCTTCGCCAGACGGGCGTGGACAATCATGTCCCTATTTATGAGGCCGATGTTGCCAAAATCAAGGAGTCTGGTTCCATTGCCTTTCAGAAGTCCAAGGCTTATACTGGCGCCATCCACACTATGGCCATGAAGTTCCTCCCGCGGCTCGTCGGCGAGTTCCTGGCCACCTGCCCGGATGCCTATCAAGACGGGGTAAAATTGCTCCAGGCCACACCCACCGGACGTCGTTTCCTTGACGATCTCGCCGATGACACCTACCGCAAAGGTATGGTTGGGCTAGTGGCGGAGAATCTCCCGACGTTTGAGCGTCACTTTGGGGCTCCCTTTGATCCGGAGGCGGCCGGCTTCGACGTCTTGATGGCAGACGCTCATGCAGGGGCCCTTGAGCTGCTGAAGGAGCAGGAGGACGCCGCTAGAACTGACAAATCCAAGCAGGCCCCTTCCCAAACTCCCGCTCCGGACGCCGATCTGCGCTGATTCTCCGTTCATTATCTTTCCCTTGTACAATTTTTCATTTTTTGTATTGTACCCTCATATATTGTAACTTTCCGGCCAATAGTGCCGAGGAATAAAAATCATTCTTTGCTCCATGCTCGTCTGGCATTTTTTTTTTTTTTTTTTTTTTTTTTTTTTTTTTTTTTGGAGTCTTTTAGTCTTCGTTCGTCCTTGGTCCTTGGTCCTACCGGCGTCCCTACTTCGAGGAGACGTTCGGTATCCGCAGACATCACAAGGACGGACAGGTTTATCTACATCGAGATTCCCCCCTTCTTCGTTCGTCCGTGGCCCTTTTAGTCTTACCGGTGTCTCTTGCTTCGAAGAATACGTTCGGTACCCAAGGGACTCGCAGGGACGAACAGGTTTACCCTCACGGGTTCCCGTCTTCGTTATCCCACGTCCATCGATCCATGGTCATTTGTGGGATAAACAGGTTTATCTTGGCAGGCTCCCTTGGTTCGTCTAGCCCCCTCCACGTCTCTACTAACCTCTTCATCGAGAGGCGTTCGCCTTCGGTGGTGGGGGAAGATCTGGCTCACCCGGGCAAGATTCCCTTCCGTGTAGGAGCTTCTCTCCTCTTCTCCCAATTTTTTTTTTTTTTTTTTTTTTTTTTTTTTTTTTTTTAAGGGGAGGTGAACTTCGTTCGTCCTTGGTCCTTGGTCCTGCCGGCGTCCCTACTTCGAGGAGACGTTCGGCATCCGCAGACATCACAAGGAGGAACAGGTGTATCTGCATCGAGATTCCCTAGTGCTTCGTTCGTCCTTGGTCCTTGGTCCTACCGGCGTCCCTACTTCGAGGAGACGTTCGGCATCCGCAGACATCACAAGGAGGAACAGGTGTATCTGCATCGAGATTCCCTAGTGCTTCGTCCGTCCTTGGTCCTTGGTCCTACCGGCGTCCCTACTTCGAGGAGACATTCGGCATCCGCAGACATCACAAGGAGGAACAGGTGTATCTGCATCGAGATTCCCTTCTCTAGTGGTTGTTGGCAAGAACAGAAATGATGTAAAAAACAGGGGCCTTTATTATTGACGACGTCCGGTCATTTTACATGGGAGTGGGAACATAACAAGGACATCAGCCTCTAACTATTGATAGAACTTTTTCAGGTGTTCTACGTTCCACATCCCGGCATGGTTCCCCTCCAGGGTATGGAGGAGGAACGTCCCCTTGTTGTATCTTCTGATGACCCGGTAAGGTCCCTCCCAGTTTTTCGCCATTTTGCCGCCTTCGAGCGGCTTGCTCTTCTCTCTTTTCCTGAGTACGAGGTCCCCGGCCTCTATTTCGCGGAATTTCACAGCCTTGTTGAAGTATCTCTGGGTGGCCCTGTGATATTCTTCCATGCGTCGAGCCGCCAGGTCCCTCCGTTCCTCGATGAAATGGAGCTCCGCTCGTAGGTTGGTCTCGTTGTCCTCCGGCTGGAAGTGCTTGGTGCGGTGTGTAGGTACCAGTACTTCCGTCGGCACCTTAGCTTGGAAACCATAAGCTAAAGCGAAAGGGGTCTCGCCAGTCGCCGTTCTGGGCGTTGTCCTATATGTCCACAAGACATAATTCAGCTGTTCCGGCCAGGTGGAGGCGTAGTCTTCTAACTTCTTCTTGATCCCATCCATGATGGTCCGGTTCATGTTCTCCACTTGGCCGTTGGCCTGCGGGTAGGCCACCGAGGCCTTAGAGTGCCTGATGCCCCACTTTGCCAAGTATGCCTCAAAGCCTCTGCCGACGAACTGCCGACCGTTGTCAGTGATGATCTGCTCTGGGATTCCGAAGCGGCAAATGATGCTCTGCCAGACGAACTTCCGGCACTGGAATTCAGTGATGGAGGCCAATGGCTCGGCCTCGACCCATTTCGTGAAATAATCAACCGCCACGATTACGAACTTCCTTCCACCAGCAGCCGTAGGCAGAGGGCCCAGCAGGTCTATTCCCCACCTAGCAAAAGGTAGTGCGATGGTCATCGGGGTGTAGAAACTGGCTGGGCGGCCAGGGACAGGTGCATACTGCTGGCATACTGCGCACTTCCGGGTATGATTGAAGCAATCTTGCTGTATGGTCGGCCAGTAGTAGCCTTGCAGGATGATTTTCCTGGCCAAGGTCCGGGGGCCCTGGTGGCTGGAGCAGATCCCTTCGTGTATTTCCTCGATCACTGCCGCCGCTAGGCTCGGCGGGAGGCATCTGAGGTAGGGCCCGCCGAACGTCTTCTTGTAGAGCTGCCCGTCAATAAGTTCAAAGTTAGGGGCACGCCTCTTTATCCACGCAGCTCTTCCTGTACTGCCATCACCTTCGGGCTCAGGGAGTGTTCCATCCCTGAGGTAATCTGCTATCTCCTTTGCCCAGTTAGGTTCGGCAATGGAGATAACCTCCACCTGGATGACGTCCGTTGCCGGTACTGGGAACACCTCCTGCCTAACGAAGCCTCTGATGTGTCGGGGGATGCTTGACGCTGGGTCATCGGCTGGGGGGTTGCTTAGCTTCGACAGTATGTCCGCCTCTGCATTCTCCACCCGCGATACCTGCTCAAGCACCACCTGTTCAAATTGT